ATATATATATATAGTCATAATTGCAGAATAGGATGTTTATGGAATCACTTCGAGTGAGACAACCTAAACATCTGAGGGAAGGGTGATGGAACATATCACCGATGACTGGCAAATTGCCGAAAAGGCAGAGCCATAAGAAGAAGAAGAAGAAGAATCGTCTCTCTCACCTCTCACTACATGTTCATTACCTTTGTATGTTGTTTCACTAGTTGGTTGTCTCTGACTAGGCGCATTAGGCCAAATAACAATTCTTATTTAGTAATTATTTTCAAGTTGTGTGAAATTACTTAGAAAAACTGAAAAATGGATAAATATGAACAAGTCGACAATGTGTTCCACAATGATTCTGTTTATATGAAAAGTTTAGTTGGGAAAGAAGTGGAATTAAAAACTATTGATGGAAAAACTCTTCTAGGAATTATTTATGTGATAGACCCAATATTTAAAACTGTTGTTTTACATACCAACTTCCGGAACGAAAAAGACTTCCAAACAATTTTCGTATTTCATCATGCTATTGAATTTCTGAAGATTGTGTCAGATGAAGTTGAAGATAGTTATGTGAAAGAAGACAATAAGAACAGGGGAACTGATCAATCGACCAGAAAAAGAATGGTGAAGAAGTGGTTGAAACAAATGTTAATTGATGTAAATGAAAGTGGGGATTACTTGAAAATAGAGGATCATTTAGTAATAGTGCCACCCTATGAACCTGCAAATTGTATATGCAACAATACAATGATTCTAGAAAGAACTCAGAAAGTTTTGCAGCAGATGCCTCAAGAATACTCTTAGGGTAAATGAATCACATCTAAGTATATGCTCAAATTCAAAAATGACAATGGCATTCAAAAACAGGATGAAATTTGATCAAATTCTATTCTATCATATTCATAAAAAAATTAATGTTTTTAGTCAATTATTATTTCACTTTTCAATTATTAAGTAAGGTTAAAAAGCTCAGGGAAATATTAAACATACTTTAAAGTTGAAAAGTCATTAACCATCAATAAACAAATGGCAGATAATGTTGCACTTGAGTATATATTTTAATTTTTCATTTCTTGTACAATATATAGATATCTGTATATAATACATAACACTATTAAATTATACATAAATCAACATAATTTATATAGACTAGTATGATATTGCTACTCCAATATAAATTCTACCAAGCCGAGAAGCTAAGATTTGTGCTAGAATCTTTGGATTTCGCAGGTAAATTTGGTTTCTCATCCTCTATATTGATTTGATCAAAAGTATCCAAAAAATATTCTATTTTTTCCAATAGATTAGTAGCTACACTTGCAAATTCTTCCCAAATTAGATATTCTTGAGTAACATAAACATTCATATCTTCCATGTGCTCGTCAATGCCAAATAACTTTTCTTCATCTACAACATAAAAAGGTTTATTTAGTCATGCTTGTGGTGGCTTTAAGCAATTTCAAATCTTCATACATATGATTAGCAATAGCTTGAGATTCATTAATATTTAAATTATTAAATGATTTTGGAAAATAAGGAACAGAATTTTTGATATAATGTTAAACTTGACACAACTATTTGCTTCAATGAGTACATTTTTATGCCATATCACTCGCCATATAATTTTTTTGCCTATAGTGTCATTTGTTTTTGTCACATAATAGCTACGCATTATTTAGAAATACAGAAAAAGGAGCTAGTTGCTAAATGGTTAAAAATGATATGTCCACACCAATTATTGTTAGGTTGCATTAATAACTTCAATGACATGATGATGAAAATTATTCAGAGTGGGCCAAATTGAACACTTTTAAATTAAAGGGAAACTGTTGTTTTCAAATAGATAGTTATAGCATGTTTTTGGAAACTGTACATTTTCTAAAAGTTGCTGTAACTTTTTTCCTGTCAGGAATTTCTTGTTTTCGTAAAAATATTTCCAAAGCACTTTTATATATAGAATTCAATGGTGTAAAAAACTTATTTTTGCAAATGAGATATCAATAGTTATCGATGGAAAACTTTTTTTTAATGAGACACTTTATTCCTGCATATTTCAATAGAGCTTGAAATTACCTATCCAAAAATGTAGGACACTTGATGTTTTGCTAGAGTCACCTTTGAAACGCAGAGCTTTTAGGTTTTTTCATGTAGACTTGGAAACGCACTCTTTGATCAAGTAAGCTTTGGATGACGTGGCGATAAAACAAAGAAATTGTACAGTAGTAGCTATCAAATATTGAGAAAGCTTTTCACAGCAGTAATTGAAACGCATATTTTCAATAAAACTGATAACAATTTATACTATGTTTACTAATAATGAATGAAAATTCAACAATGATAATAATAATGATAAAGAATAAGAAATGAAATATATTTTTTCAGAGGTGTTCGAAATGTCTACCAGCTTCTCCTATACACAGTCGACACCTTTTCTCAACGTTTTTTGCCGAATTAATTAGTTCAATAGGAGTGAGAGAAGCAAAACGTTGCATCACTGCCGGTTAGAATTTTTATCTAGAATCGGTCAGAAATTTGAAAATGAAATATTTCAACCTTTCCCAGAGGCAAAAGTCTATAGGCGTTAGGTCGTCCGGTGACCTGGCCGGCCAACGGTTGGGTACTTGGTTGGCTATCCAATTATTACCAAAATTTGCAGCCAAAAAATTGGTGACAATTGCAGTGTTGTGAGGCGAAGCTCCGTCTTGCTGAAAAAATATTTTTCTGAGCTCCATTAGTGACAATTCATCAACAAGGGGTTCAATATTTTGCCTTATAATTTCTAAATATTTCTGAGATGTGATAGTGCCATTATAAATGAAAGGACCGATAATTCTACCCCTGAAAACACCTGCTCACACACTAAATCCAAATCTTTCTTGACTTCTCTGCTCCACAATAGAATGAGTATTTTGTTGTGCCCAAGAATAAAAATTGTAGCGGTTGAAAATGCAGGCACTCCTCACATAAGTTTCATCTGTCCAAATACAATTCAATGGAAAATCACCCACTTGGTTACAACTTTCCAGGAGCCACTTGCAGAAAGCCATGCGGTGTTCAAAATCTCCTGGTCTGAGTTGATGAACTCTTCTAGTCCTGTATGGCTTGAATTTGTGTTTTTTCAAAATCCTCCTACCGTTAGTTCTTGGTAGGTCTGTTGATATTTTCAAATTTTGCGTTGATTTTGGATTATTTTCAACAGCTCCTAAAACGACTATTCCTTCCAACTCCTTATTCCGTTTTGATCATATAATTTTGGTCTTTTCTTTTCAAATTAACCACCATTAATTAGGTTGTGTCGCAATCTTGCAAAAATGTCTCTAAAAGGTTGTCTACTCTCCTGATACCTCTCGTGATACAAATTGCTTGCTGCTTCTGTATTTTCCCCAGTTTGTATAAAACATTTTTCATAGCTATCATACTTCATTGTGAATGTGTATGAAAATTGAACAAAAACCACTAATTGAAGAGCGTCTTTACTGCTTAATTCAAAATTTGACAGCTTGCATCGTTCAAAGCATACTTCATCAAAGTGTGCGTTTCACAGTCTACATAAAAAATCTAAAAGCTCTGTATTTCGAAGATGACTCTAGCAAAACATCAAGTGTGCTACATTTTTGGAAAGGTAATTTTAAGTTTCATTGAAACATACAGGAATATACAGCGTGTCTCATCAAAAATAAGTTTTCCATCAATAACTATTGATATCTCATTTTTACACCATTGAATTCTATGTAAAAAATTGTGGAAATGTTTTCATAGTAACAAGAACTTTTCAACAGGAAAAAAGTTATAGCAGCTTTTCAAAAATGCACAGTTTCGAAAAACATGCTGTAACTCAGAAACGATGATACAATATCGATATGCGGTTTTCACCATTAAGTTTGTCATAAAATTTTGATCCTCAGACACAGTTTTCATCTATCTAATTTGAAAACAGCAGTTTCCCTTTAAAAGTGTTCACTCTGTACATTATATTATCAAAAGGTACCCAATGAACCCCTGAAAATTCAACATGCTTACTGTTAATGTTTTCAGCCAGTTCTCGCAAATGATAATTTGGCGACTGGCATCTTCTGTTTAACCATCCAATTAAACTGGACGTTATTATTTACCTAAATGAATTATTCTGTTATTAACGTCCCAGAGAAATGTATTTCACTGGGAAGTTTCTCTCTCTTATTAATTTTCTCTGCTATTTACCTTGGATATATCAATATCTCACAAATATTTTTTGGTGGAATTGAGTGTCTGCCCACTCTAGATACGTGACACTGTAAAGTATCATAGCAAGTAAGAATATGGTAGTTTTGCGCAGCCTAGTCTTGCCATACTTATTCTAGTGTTCGGTAGTTTTATAATTAAAGCCTCTCTCGTTTTTAAATTATTGAATAGTATGTTTGCTATTCTACACACTTGAGCAACTTTTTTATGTCATTCAGAACCTAAATATGCCTATAAATTATACATGAAATATTGAGAAATGAGAATCAAGATTTAAAAATTTTTACTGGAAATCTGTTGATCACTAAATTTTTTTTCTTTTACCGAGATTTTATCAAAATGTATTTTCATAATTACACCTATGTTGCTCAATAGAAAATAATATTAAATGTATGGAAAGAAATCTGTAAGTATATCCCCAATGTATAAATAAGTATTGTGAAATATAAAGACGATCATTAAAAATTTTAAAATACTGAAAAATGATTATGTACTAATATTTTGGTTTGTTATATAAAAAAAAAGTAACACACATTATGGAATTATGAAACAACAAAAATAATTGGTGCTCCCGTGCAACTTGATTGATTCCAGTGGCGCATTTGCTTTTTCAGATGCAGGAAAACCCGGAAAAACCTGCAGCATCACATCATCTGAAGATCTTGAAGTGCCAATGTCTTCTCTTTCGCAGAATAAAATGAAGGGTGTCTCCAGAGGTTCCAATAAATTCAAGATATTGCCAGAATATTTAGTGACACGACTATCGTCAAACTTACACCAGTCCGTTTCGTCTTTGATCAATGCGTAATAATGACCAGATTCAACGCCAAAACCACAGTGAACAATGATTGCATGAAGCTTATAATAGTGGTCTGCTAAAATGAAGTGTTCATCTATTTAGAACCTTCGTAAGAGTTTCGTGCTTCCGTCAGAGGTTGAGTCATGTTTGAAGATCATTAGTGTTGACTGGTGACTTAGCTATACTTATCTAACTGACTAATAGTCAGTTGGTTTATTCATTTATTGATCATGAAGAATTAAGAAATGGTTAAGATTGTTTCCATATACATACCTAAATAATCGGCAAGTATCACCAATAATTTGTGGATTTGTGTTTCTGAAAAGAGTTCGTGTAAATCAACAACTTCGATGCAATAATTCCAGAGTACTTGACAAACTAGATTGCCTAATGACCAATCATTATCGCAATGATTTGTCAAAGTTTTGATCATCTGCTCAACTCCTTCACTATTTTTGAATAAAGTCCTGGATCGATTATCAGACATCAAATTGACAAAAACTCCCACTGCTGTTTTCAGAAGTGTAGGGTCAGCTGAAATATCCATGTATGTACATCAAAACTGGGAAAGTTACTCTGTGAACTAACCTTTGCTCAATATATTTAATAAAGTTTTGAATAACTCTGTCTCCACTATGTAGGAGCGGGTTATTTTGGACCTAGACAAATTCCCTAGAATCCTCATTGTTTCGATAACACAATCTTTATTTCTCGAGTTAGCAAATTCTGTAATGGCTGAAAAGAAAATTGAAATTAGCACTATGTCTCACTATCGTAGCCAACAAAAGAAGGTATAGATTTTTTATAGATAACTAGGATGAGATCTACAAAATGTTCATTTGTAAGGAAAAGAAGGTTTCAAATCAAACAAAAATTAGAAAGAATTACCTCAAGTGCATATATCGATGGTTTAACGCACACGTGTTAAGGTTACAATTTGGTGATTTTCCAAAATTTGTAATTTACCATCTCAATAACAAAAGTCGGCTACTGCACACACTTCTCTATCGTTAATGATTTTGATTTTTTTAGCCGAGTTTTCCATTAAGTAACAAAGCAAATAACAACTTTGTTTCAGATATTCAGTGGGCAAGTAATTAGAAAAATAACAAATAATTGTTTGAGTCACTTAACACATTTTGAAACTAACATGAGGTACTTACCTCATTTGTGTGATTACTTGAAAGTAATGACCTACTCAACTATTCAAATTGAATGAAATAATTTCACTAAAAGAAGTAAATACTTATTTTCAACCAAGGTGGCATTTCTTAAACAATAGTTCAAACGACGTTCATTATTCGGTTGGCCGTCGGTATTTCTTCTATAAAATTCCTATAATCTTCAGGAATTACTTTTAGTTTCAAGAACTCTAAGAGATCGGTTTTGGTTTTCTTAGATTTCGTTATCAGCAGCTTGGAGGTATACTTCTGTTTCAAATTAAAAGATGACCAATCCAAAGTCGTTTTTTGCTTGAAACTGATTCAAGATCAAAAGGTATTGATCTGTAGGTGATACCTTTATCAGCAATCGTCTTCAGCTTATCCAAAGATTCATTTTCATATCTTCCTCTTCTCGCTTTTTATTTTTGTCCCAGTTGTCTTGCAAAATAGTTTATCAGTGGAAGAATGGTAGGAATTACATGTAGTGCACTGATCTTTTTTAGAAATGAAGAATAACAGTGATGCATCAAATGAATTGAAAATATTGCGGTATACAAAGTATGACACTGGTGTAATGTTCCTTTCTTTATAATAGTCATCTTGGTATAGTCGATACATACGGGACAAATTCTACTTGGGTGCTAAATAGAGTCTTCGCGTACCTTTTCTGCAATAGTGAGACTTGATAAGAGGAAATGAATTAATGTGCGCTTTTACAGCAAGTATTTTTTCTTCTACGGTCGCATTATAAACTGTTTCTGTCACTAAATAAGGAACACAAATTTTGTAAGTGATCACATAGCACAAGTGCGTATCTAACCACATCCTAACTTAAAATACCACAGGTGTCAAGTGCACTTACCACGATTGTGAGTCTATTTACCGGTACTTAACAAATTTAATCAACTCGACTAAGATGACTTTCACTTCGAAAACAATCACCACATTTGGGCACAACAAACATATATCAACTATATACCCTAACTTAAAATACCACAGGTGTCAAGTGCACTTACCACGATTGTGAGTCTATTTACCGGTACTTAACTAATTTAATCAACTCGACTAAGATGACTTTCACTTCGAAAACAATCACCACATTTGGGCACAACAAAGATATATCAACTATATACTCAGTGACGCACTTAACACAGTTTACCCCAGAATTGTACTTAACACATCTGTGCGTTAAACCTTCGATATACTTGATTGACACAGGTTCATATAAATCATATATTAGTGAAATTGAGCTGAAATAGTTCACAGTATTTTATGGTGCCTCTGGAGTGTGAATTATAATATAAATATAAGAAAGCGAAAATTTCACATCAAAGTAATTGACGTTTAATTTTTGAAAATTATCATGTAATTTAGATTTGAAAAAATGCAGACATGCATAGTTAATTAGATGGACTTGTGATTCAACAGCGCTGTTTCGACCCACCAGGTCTCATCAGTGGTTCTAGGTTGAACCATTGAACTGTTCTAAACAGGACAAGCCTGAAAGTAAAGGCGATGATGACATATCTTCCTAGGAGATGCCATCTATATATAGATAGATAGTTTATTTAACCACGTAATGTAAAAAAAATACATTTGTAGCAAGTCAAAACAATAATGTTTGAGCCATACAAATATATGAACAATCAACAAATATTTCAAATAGGTTACAAATAAAATAATAAAAAAAAACTATCCCCAGTGGTGACGCAAATGTATATGAGAGACACAAACATGATGTGAATAATATTGCAATTAAAATTGACGAAAATATATGGTAATTACAGGCCACAATAAAAATGATTCACATTCAAACATGTGAGTTGGTGTAGCCAGGTACTCGTTGCCACTATAAAAACAATGTGTTGTCAAGAAATTTTTGGAAAACCTCTTGAAACGAAATGTTGGTAAATCTTTAACAGTGGGTGGCAATATATTATAAATATTGTGGCAAATCAATGAATTAACTGTCTTAAACAAATTTATTTTCAACAATATTTCAATAATCACAAACCTATTTATTTATTACAATACTTGACAACTAACGTTTAATTTATTTCCACTATTCGAATTTCTTCTTTAGCTGCTTGATTCACTTTCTAAACTGCCCTCTTGGGTCGGAAAGACGGGCTTATATCGGTAAAGGTCCTTTCGAGAATTCTGTAGACAGTTCGGTACTCGTTTAGAATTTTACCGGCAGTTCCAGACTGCATTCTTTCGGGGTGAGGGCATGTGATTGTTCGATGAGTCGGCTGGTGTAACAGTACAACCAGTCAGGGGGGCTTCAGATTCGTTTCATTGCTCCCTTCTTAAAGACGTTTCGCCCCAAAAAATCATCTTTGGCGTGTGTCAATACCTGCAGGACTCTCCATATCTGCTCCGTAAAGTTCGATGGAAGTAACACTCCACAGTCTTCATGCTCGGTCGTGGAAGATGGTTACCGCACACCAAAATCTTGATGCCGCTGGATCTGAATATCGTTTTCAACATGCTTCTCACAATTCTCCAATCCAGCCTGTCGAGCCCAGAGGCTAATTTTGGGATTGCCAAGTCCACAAGATTCTGATCGAGCATCGTGTCCCTCTGTCTGGTAAGACTCCTCCCGACATCTTCATAGAAGGTTTATCTCGTGAATGCTTTTTGGTCACAAAGTAGAAAATGTTTCTCTGACCCTTCTACAGCTGTAACACTCCTCCGACTTCTGGATTCTGTTCTCGTAATGTTTGGAGCTGACCGAATTTCTTGTTGAATATCACAGCGATACTCCTGGACATTTGGATATCCCTCTGCCACGCAATGAGCTATCGCGTAATCAACTGAAACCTTGAAAAGGTCTCGTGGCTCTTCTTGAGTTACCCCATGTACGACTTTCTGTCCGTTCGTGTATAAAGACACTAATTTCTGGAACGTTATTTCATCCTCTGGTGGTTTGAGGGCGCGAACTTGGTCGTGATTTCCAGCATAAGCAGCCAGTCTATTAAAATGGACTACCCTAGGCTTTTCTCGAGTTGACTTATGGATTCGGTAGACGAGGTCATTTATCTTCTTCATGATTTTGTACAGACCTTCCCACGAGTTCCGCAACTTTGGTGATAAAGTCACTAGTTTCGAGTCCTCCAGCATTCGCCTTGACGTCATAGGCCTTCTTCATTCTATCGCTGGCACTCCGGATGTTCAGATGAACTCGATCATGGATGTCGCCCATTCTCTGTCGAAGTTTACTGACATAGTCTTCCCCCGCAGTGTCTTGTTCTGGCGACGTCCCAAATTTCAGATCGCAAAGAAGCCGCAGCTCAAGGCCCATTATAATACTGACAGGGGTTTGGCCGGTTGACTGGTGCACTGCCGAACGATAGGCCAACAGGAACAGATGGAGGTACTGGTCCCAGTCTCTTTGGTGCTCAGAGACTACCTTGGAAAGTGGCGGTTTATAGTCTCATTCATTCGTTCAACCATTCCATCGGACTGTGGATGTAAGGCTGTGGTTCTGGTCTTTCGAATGTCCAACAGTTTACACATTTCTTGGAACAGGGTGGACTCAAAATTTCTGCCCTGGTCCTAATGCAGCTCCAATGGGACACCGAATCGATATATCCATTCCTTTACCAGGACGTCAGCGACGGTAAAGGCTTCCTGTTTGGGCATGTCACAGGCTATTGCCCACTCACTGAAGTAGTCCATGGTTACCAGGATGTATTTGTTCCCGTGGTCGAACTCTGGGAACGGGCCGGCGATGTCGATTTTCGATTCTCTCAAAGGGACTACCAACGTTATACTGGCGCATTAGAGCTTCGGTCGTATCCGAGGTCCGTTACTGGCAGCACATTCATCACACTTTCTGCACCGGTCCTTGACGTCGGCTTGACAATTAGCCCAGTAAAAACGTTTTCCCACTTTCTGGAGTGTCTTCGTTAATATAAGATGTTTTCCAGTGACTCCATCATGGATTTATTTGAGCACCTCGCGTCGTCTGTTCCTGAGTACCGCTTGTCTCCACGTCTTCAGACTCCAACACCCGCTTCAGAACCCCGTTTCCCAAGGTAAGGGAGTTCCATTGGGCCCAGTAGGACTCAATCGCTGGCGAATAACCTACTACTTCCTGCCACGATGGTCTTTGAATTATTTTCTTCCATCCGATGACTAAACCAAGATCTGGGTCTTTCTCTTGTTCTTTCTTGATCTTATTGTCCTTCCAGTTGTCATCTACAGCTGCTTCCTTCTCTTCCGCTCGTCGGCAATGTGAGCGATCATCGAAAATGGTCTCCGTGACAGGGCATCTGCGTTTTTATGACTAGTCTCAGCTCGATATTCTATTTCGAAGTCAAATTCTTGTAGTCTCTCGATCCAGCGCGCTACTTGGCCCTCGAGATTTTTGAACTACAGATGCCATTTGAGAGCTGCATGCTCAGTTCTCAACAGAAATCTTCTTCCATATACGTATTTATAAAAGTGCTCTACATCTTTGACAATGGCCAACAGCTCTCGCCTGGTGACACAATAATTGCGCTCTGGTTTACTGAGCGTTTTGCTGAAGTAGCAAATAACTTTCCCCTGCCCCTCCTGGATCTGAGAAAGGTCTGCTCTAAGTTCCACGTTGCTGGCGTCCGTATCGAAATTTCTCCGCAGTACAGTACACCAAGCGCTCACAGAATTATTTTACAAATTCCTCTCCTGGCACCAATTGCGGAAAACTAATGAATGAACTGTCTTAAACAAATTTATTCCCAATAATATTTCAATAATCACAAACTAATTTATTTATTACAACATTAAGCATGGTTATTATTCTACTATTCAAGGTATATACATCAAAGCAACTGGAATTTTTCAACTCATTGATGGCATTAAAGACTTCAGAGGTGATCAATGTATTAAATATTAAAAATCCTACTGAAAAAGGTTTGAGACTAGCATCTAGAGCAGTGTTTCTCAAAGTGTGCGCCGCGGCGCCCTGGGGCGCCGTGGAACCTTTACTGGGGCGCCGTGGGCCACCGGTAGTCTCAAGGTACAACGTTTTACAACATAGATAACTGAGAGTAAAGGTAATACGTCGTAAATGCAATTCGTTCAGACAGCCACCTACCTACTTTTATTAATTAAATATCTAGTGTAGTCTTTACGTTCGGGGCACCGCGATAACCTTAAAAAACATAAGGGAGCCGTGAATTCCAAAAGTTTGAGAAACACTGATCTAGAGATAATGGGCAAGCAATATTATTATTAGCTTTCACTGCAAGGCAGCTAGATGGATAGTTATTGATATTTCTTTTCTATAAATTATATTTGTCGAAGATTATATATAATAAGGCAATTAATGTAAACAACTATCCTGGAACACTGTCTTTTCACAAAATTGCCAAGTAAAAAAGTGAATCGATATATAACTACTTTGAAAAACATATTGATGTTCATCAGACTGCGAAAGGCAGAGAGAGAAAAATTACATTTCTGGAAATAAAGATGAATGAATTAACCCTAGTAAATCTTATTCTCTACGGTCTAGTTAAAAAGTAATGTGAATAGGGATTTTTTAATAGGTGCCCGGATCGAAATTTTCTACCTCTTTTATTTCGACCATCGAGTGGAGTAAATGATGTGTTGTTTTTCCGGCTGTTCATCCGTTGTGTACTATTCGATAGTCGACGTTTCGCCATTATCTCAGATGGCATTATCAAGACGAGTTACTGCTTAGCTTAGAGAGGTGTAACTCCTCTTACAGATCAAGTTGATATTGCTCTCCATTGAAAACAGTTTATTTTTCCCTTCAAATAGGTGGTGGATTTTGAGATGATATATTATATTTTCTTGATTCAAAATAGTTCATCTACGCAATGATATGATCAAACGAATTATGTCGTTGAAAGGCCAAGAAATTTGATTTCTTTGTTGAAAAAAGTGTGATTTTCTGGTGGAACATGGCGATGTTGGCATAAAGTAATAGTTTTCCCAATAGAGATAACAATTTCAAGGCAACTTATGATTTTCTTTCAAAGAAATACTTTTTTCTGTGCATAATTGATAAGTCATGATTAGAGCTGTTGATTTCCTTAAAGGGGATAGATACTTGAATGATGCTCAATATGGTTTCAGATCGATGAGTTCTACATTACAAGCAATGACGGAAATTGTTCACGCATCATTGCCCATAATAAAGATTTGGCTATCAGCACTCGCTTCCTTCTTTGCGATCTATCTATAACATTTGACAGTGTTTCACATGACATATTATTGAGAAAACTTGAACAATATGGTATTAGAGGCATAGCATATGACCTAATACATTCTTTTTTGACAGACAGACTGCAATATATATTATATAACAATGTAAAATCTGATACCAAAATTATCAAGCATGGAGTACCTCAGGGATCCGTACTTGGTCCCCTTTTATTTATTGTATACATAAATTATCTTCCTACATGTATTGATAGAGCAGATTTTTTTTATATGCCGATGATGCAACTTTTGTCATAAATAACCAACAAGTGGGGAAACTAGATCAGTTGTCAAGTGAAACACTGACAAAATGCGAAAGATACTTTAGCGCTAATGTTCTATGCTTGAACGCAAATAAAACTCAGGAAATAACTACTACAAATAGATCCCAATTGTCTGACGGTGACAAAGAGGTGTGTTCACCTTGTGTAGGAGTCCACATTGACAACAAATAAAATTGGAATGAACATACGACATGATTATGTAAAAAGCTCTCAAGGTGTCGCTATGCATTGAGAGTTTAGTTTCAAACGATGTGCTGAGAACTGCATATTATGGCATGGCTCATTGCCACATAAACTATGGAATACTGATATGGGGTGCTTCCTCACATGCAAGTGAAGTATTCATTATCCGAAAATAGATAATGAGAGAGATTTAGAAAATGTTGATTCCAGAACCCATGCTAAACCAATCTTTATAAAATGGGTCATACTTACATTACCTTCCATGTATATTCTAGAAGCAGTATTGTTTGTACATAAAAATAAAAATAAATATTATAGTGGCTCCAGCATTCACAATTATGATACAAAACACAAAGATCAGGCTACCGAAGATGCATTATTAAAACACAGCCAAACAAACTGAGTTTCTTCCCATAAAAATATATAACACTTTGCCTAGCGAGTGGAAAGACCTTCATATCAAAGAATTGAAGTTCAAAGTAAAATATTCACTTGTCACTCAAGCTTTCTATAAGTTTGATGAGGTATTCAATTGTCAGTGGTCCTAATATATGTACCTATATATGTGTGTATGTGTGTACGTTTACATATATTAGTGGAACACTGTGTATATAAAAAACAGTATTTGTGGCAGACTTCACAATTGTGGTATACTTGCACGCTCATACCACAATTTTTTCGGTGATTTTCGCATAGTTCAGCTGATGACGAGTCTATCTATACCTACTTCGTAGTTTCAATGTGTAAGATGCCACTAAGACCCTTCATGC